GGTCTCGCCAAGTTGCCCAGGTGGGTCTCGAACCCGTGGGCTCAAGCAATCTACTCACCTCAGCCTCCCAAGGCGCAGGATTACAGGCTGAGCCACCGAGCCCGGCTTTTGATTGGTTTTTTAATGGACACTTTTTTCTTGATTCCAGTAGTGTTTTTAAAACCCTGTGTCTTAATCCTTTTCTTTTTCTTTTCTTTTCTTTTTTTTTCTTTTTTAGAGTCTCACTTTGTTGCCCAGGCTGGAGTACAGTGGTACATTCATGCCCACCACAGCCTCGACTTGCTGGGCTCAGGAAACCCTTTCGCCTCAGCCTTCCAAGTAGCTAAAACTACAGGCATGCACCACCACACCCAACTAATTTTTCTTGATTTATTGTAGACACAAGGTCTTGCCAAGTTTCCCACGCTTGTCTTGAACCCCTAGACTCAGGCAGTCCTCCTTTGCCTCCCAACCTGCTGGGATTACAGGTGTGAGCCGCTGTGCCCGGCCTATCTTAACCCTTTTCTAAAGTGTCTTGGCTGATAAAGGCTTGAACCTCACCATTTCATTAGCCCAGGCACCCACATACTTCAGAAGCAACTGTCTTTCAGAAAAAGACTGTATAATGCTGATTTTACACTCTGAAACAAAGTCTGAAACAGAACTTGTTTTCAGTTTGTGCTAAAGATGATGTGGTGTCTCACCTGGTACTTCAGTGTTCTCTATCACAACAGGGTGACAGGTGGGCCAATCATGTTGTCATCATTAGTAGAAACAACCTTTGAGGGTCTGCTGGTGTCCTGGGCTTATGCTCTGGGCAGTTATGGTTAGAGTGACTATTTTTCTTATGGTTGTCTACCTTAATGATGATACTGGGGTTGTTCTAACACATTGAGCCACTTGATCGAGGTCATGCCAGCCCAGATTCAGCCTTCTGTGCAGTGTGTCCCGTGACTGAGACAGAGCAGGTATTCTCTGCCATTGATTCTTTGATCATTTTCAGCAATTGTAATTTAGTTTTGGTTTTCAAACTAGTCTAACTTGCTTTTGAGGCCGCTGGAAGGCCCTGGTGGCTGGGGGAGAGCTTTAGGCCACAGATAAAATAGAGCCATTTGACACCCTCCCATAAGACACACACATAAATAACTTCACCTAATTCCTATGGGAATTAGGAAGGCTGCATGCCCTTGCCCTCATTATTCAGGCAAGATTTTATTTGCTAACTCCTGATCTAGATAAGGATTTCTTTTCTCTGGTTTTCTGGCATTCCCAAAGGCCCTCAAAAACCCTATTATAAATCCTTATAAAGTGATATGCTCTTTATGTGGTCACGTTACTTTTGAGTTAGGAAACACTATAGTTGATGGACATACATACTGAATTTAAAAGTTAAAAAATTAAGTTTGAAAATTACCAAAAGTGAAGATACGGCAGAGGTGATTCATTCTTAATTCTACATGCCCAAATTCCAGGGAAGGGCAGTAGGGGTACAAACAATAACAAGACCAGTAGCAGTAAGTATTACAGATAGTCCGGGCTCGGTGGCTCAGCCTGTAATCCCAGCACTTTGGGAGGCCGAGGCAAGTGGATTGCCTGAGCCCATGGGTTGGAGACCAACCTGGGCAACTTGGTGAGACCTCGTCTCTACAATAAAATAAAATTAAAAAATAACTGGGCGTGGTAGTGCACGTCTGTAGTTCCGACTACTTGGAAGGCTGAGGTGGAAGAATCACCGGAGCCCAGCAGGTTGACGCTGGAATGAGACTCCAACTTTAAAAAAAAAAAAAAAAAA